GAAGTACGATACCTCTGTTAGAGAAAGTGTCACGAAGGCGGAAAAACTATATATAGCTAGGACGTATGACATTAATTAAGTGTTCTTTTCATTTTTTTACAGACCTGTGTCTATACACTGCTGGTGCACTATCAGTTCTCGAGGTTGTCATCATATCAGTTGTCAGTCCTTCGGTACTGACATGATTTATAACAAACCTTTCCTTAAATTGTCCGTTTACAGACTATGTATTTATTAAGAAACTTGAGTTTCAAGTCCTTCCGGCCAAGTTGCATCTTCGCTAGCCAAGGGTTACGATTCACTTCCCTGCTCTCCACCCTTGGCGGATTGAGATAGAATTTCGGAGACACAAGGTAATGATTTTCATTGGTTGCAGTCGAAACTCGCTGCATCCAATCAAAAAGCGCCTATAACATGATCACGTGTAAATGTAGAAAGTGTATGTTAACAATTGCCACGTGCTTACTGTGCAACAAGTCTTTACATCCCTAAACATACGACTATATTTAGTGACAATTTGAATGTTTTAATCAACTAATAGAAGTTCCTGTGTATGTTTCGCGCACAAATGCATGAATGTCAACGTATATTTTTATGCTTTACCAAGTGTGTAGAATCTAGGCGCTACCGTGTTTTTACCTCAAAATTGAAGAGTTCAAGTGCTACCACTGGTCAAAAATAATGTATTCGGAATGGGCGTGTCTTTAATCTACCGATAGATGGCGCAACATTGTTTTAACAAATGTTGGTTTAATCTGCGAAGGGTGGAGAGGAGGGAAGTGGATCGTAACCCTTGGCTAGCGAAGATGGCCAAGTTGTTTTTGGCTATTATTTTAGATTCTTTTTGGTCATATAGTTCTTTGACTGCTTCGGCTCTTATACATCCTTGGCTTTCAAATATTCGGCTTTTGGCGTTTAAATTGAGAAAAGCGCAGACGCTGGATATATTTATAAAGTGTTTTTTTCGAGGGGCATATTAGGACATTTCAAACATCAATCCTGCCAACTATACTGTTGATTAAAAGTCAAACATTTTTTTAACTTTTAACATGAATGTATATCTTTTTGGAAAACGTGCATTTCTTTACGAATTATAGTATATCTGGACACAGAACATCACATTGGTATCTGCTCTCAGCATACTAACTAGAGCCTCTAAAGAGCCTGTGTCGCTTACACAGGTCTATATGCATATTCAACAATGAAACCTCTCCTACATTGTAGACTAGAATATAATTCATAAAAAAAATCTCTTTTTTGTTGATCTTGCATTGCTGATCATTTGTCCTCTTTATTTTCTCTATCTTCTTTTAAATAAGAGTTTGCTAAAAACACAAATGAGGTAACACAAATTGTCATTTAAGGGCAATCACTCCAAAAACAGTCTACAAACTAAAACGACAAAATTCGGCTTGTTTGTAGATTTTGTCTTGCTGGCCATTTTTGCTTTTTACAGTGTCTATCAATCTATTATAAATTTCAAGAAAAAAAGGCAAAAACACTTCAAATGTATGCTGATTAATATTTGCTTTTTTTAAGCTTCTATCCACATGTATTTATTGTAGTTTTCAGATATTAGGCAAAAACGCAAAACATGGTAAAAGTCGTTATTAAAAGGCAATAACTATTTTAAGTAGTCGTCTGACGATTTCTGAAATTTTGATTTATCTTGTCTATCTGATCATTTTTGCTATTCAAGTTTATTTCTATCTATTATAATTTTCATGTATAACCAAACATGAAAATAAATGTTACAATTTGTCATTTAAGGGCAATTACTCTTTTAAGAAGTCGTTTGATAGTTATCAGACAAAAGGTAGAGCTCAACATTCTGAACGATTATGCTTCTGTCAGAATTTCTCTATTTATAGCAGTTTTCAAAATAATAGACAAAACTTGCACTTATTCCATGTTCTATTTACATGTATAGCCATGTTGGCCATTTTGGATGGGAAGCTTGGTCATCGAACACATTTTTGAAACAAGATACCCAAATGATGATTGTGGCCAAGTTTAATATTAAATTCGATCTGTAATTTTAAAGGAGAAGATTTTTGTAAAACATATGTTGTTTATTATAATACTGTATTATCAATAGTGTATCAGTCAAAGGCAAGACAAAAATTTTATGATCAGTAACTCAAGAATCCTTTATTTCCGAAAGGGTGTTCAAAGTTAAAACAGTTGTGGTGATTGACAAGATACCATATATTTTGGGTAACATACTACCTGTTGATATGTTATGAATCCGTATATATGCATTTGCATTAATATGGTGAGTGTCAAACAACACGTCAAATATACAAGGCGCATAATTTGGTAGATTCAGACGAACGTTTGTACATGACCAGTGGTGTTCGAATCAAAACAGTGGGGAAGGCCAAATTGAAAACGATGTAAAAGAGCATTACACACTAAAAATTCCAAAAAATTGTATCAAACTTGGCTGAGGCAATCTTTGGCTGGGGTTGAAAAAAAAACGTATTTTTCGATTATACATTTTAGTGTTTGTACGCCAGACGTGCATTTTTTTCTACATCATACGCATCAGTGTCGCTCGAATCAAAATACGTATAAGGCCAAATCAAAAAACGAAGCTGAGGAAAATAGAAACAGAACATTTCGATAAGTTGTGCCGAAGTCAGGTAAGAAAATTTGCACTGCATGAAATGATACGATTACAAAATTTATTCTCATATTAAATTTCTAGTTTTAGATTTAAGGTATGATTTACGAAAAATTATTTTAGTAGTTTATGAAAATTTAATGCTTTTGTTAAATTTCAAATGTTCTTTCTTCTGTTTAATCCCGATATATGGGTTATTAAATTTGTTATTTATTTGAAAAATAAACCAGTTTAAATTTGTTATTTAAAAGGTTTAAATCTAGTTTATCCTTGTTAAACTTTTAGTTTACATACGTTTATTTTTTAACAAAACTACTAATATTAGACAATTTAACTGAAATTTATATTGGATTAAATAACAAGTTTATACGAATGTAACTTTTTTCGGTAAATCTGAAATTTAATGGCAGTTTTTGTAACGTGTTTATATATCTTGTTTTATTTAAAATGATTACCTCTTCTTCTTCTTTGATTCAACAAGGCTTTAATACTGAAGAATACATGTTGTACAAAATAAAATCGAGCGTTATTAAGGGAAAAAAACCCCAACATAACGATCCGGCTTATTAAAATTGTCCAAACAGAAAAATGAAAGTTTCGTTGCAAATATATTAACAACTAACGTAAGGAAATATTCAAATCTTGAATATCCCAAAAACTTTTCAGAATGTCAACCAATGAGGGGTATAAATAGTTAAACCAAAGTAAAGACCGTCCTTGGATTTCCATAGACATTCTGGTTATCTTTCTCAATAACAGAAAATACAAAAAAAAATACAAAACAGAACAAATAACAAGAGCTTAAATAATGGCTAAATTTCATCGTTTGTTTTTATTGGTTTTTTTTTTATGAATTGTTCAGTTCTGATTAGTTCAAAAACATGTATTTATTGAAGTACATATGTACAATACAATACACAAATACAATAAAAGTTTAGAAACAATAGTAAGGTCCTCCAATATAGGGCCGACCGAAATGAAGTGAGTTCAATTTGGAATGCCACTGGAAAGAGAAGGTATATTCGAAAGGGTAAGAAATTTTGTCGTGCAACAGGCCACCTACGGCCTCAATATAGAATTTTTAAAGGGTTCTTAACGTGCATAAAGCTTGGCACTCTATCTACATGAGACATCAGAAATAATGTCCCCGTTCTGACTAAATGAGGCTGTGAATTTATGCATCTCGCACAGACAAACGAATGCCTCAATTTGACAAGTTTTAATCTGCCGGTTTGAAGAAAACCAAGGGTCGATAATTTTTCATTACCCTAGTCAATACTTGAGATTTTGATGAAGAAGATTTTCTATTCTTAACTTATTATATAGATAATGCTAATAATGTCCCTTCTTAAGCAATAACACTGTATACATCATGTACATGTTGTGTTATCTATGTTGTGTTTTTAGAGCAAAACGCTCAAATATGAAATATATATAATACAAAACAAATATTTATTGAAAACATAAAAAAAAAAATGAAAGTAGACGCACCCAAATAAATATTAAGCATTCTTATCGGAAACTATAAAAAATATATGAGTTCCTGCGATTAAGTTGATATTTGAATTATGACTGTGTTATATTACGTCTACTCAAGATAATTTTTGAAATTAATTATTATGCAAAACTACAATCTCTCTATGTTGTGATGTTACACTATTATTTCAGATAAGGGTAAAGGTTTGGTACCATTAAAACGTTTAAACTCGCTGCAATTGTTTGCACCTGTCCTAAGTCAGGAATCTGATGTTCAGTAGTTGTCGTTTGTTGATGTGGTTTATAAGTGTTTCTCGTTTCTCGTTTTTTATATAGATTAGACCGTTAGTTTTCCCGTTTGAATGGTTTTACACTTGTAATTTTTGTGCCCTTTATAGCTTAATGTGCTGTGTGAGCCAAGGTTCCGTGTTGAAGACCGTACTTTGACCTATAATGGTTTACTTTTATACATTGTGACTTGGATGGAGAGTTGTCTCATTGGCACTCATACCACATCTTTTTATATCTACTTACCATATATGTATGTCCTTTTGCATTACGTGTTTTATTTTCATACTCCCATTTAATAATCCATTGATAGGAGAATTCCATGAATTGCCTATCACATATTAAATTTTAATAAGTGTATATATATATGCGTGGAGTTAAGTGAACATGAGATACAACAATGATGTAAGGTGTATAATGATGCAAAGCAAGTCATGATGATACATTTGGATATTCAATTTTCATAAGGTAAATTTTTGAAAGTTTAAATTAATTTTATTCTTCCATCGCCAATTGAATTTGTTAATACAATTTCGTATATACATAGGTGCCTATGCATGTTGTTTACGATACATAGGTAAGGGTATATACACATTATCCAAAACACAAGAAAATAAATACAAATTATTTAGCAATGTGCTGGATGCAATTAAACAAACATCATAATTTTACATTTTCTCATTTATGTTGTGTTTAGCAATAGTTTTCAGATTTCACACCTAGTACAACGTTTATATAATCAGTTTTGGGTAGCATTTGTTAGTACAATACATGAATACAAGCATGACATTGACAATTAAGAATGAAAAAGAATTCCTTTAGTCGAGTTTTCAAAAAGTAAAATAACAAAAATTCCGAAATCCAAGGGAAATTCAAAAAGAAATGTCCCTTATCAAATGGCAAAATTAAAAGCTCAAACACATCAAACGAATGGAAAACAACTGTCATATGCCTGAGTTGGAACACAGTCAGTGTAAAGTAATGTCACAAAACTTGTAATATCATTTATACATTGACATACAACGAATCGCCTTCAAATAGTTGTTTGGTACACTTGTAACACGTGTATTTCCTGAAAGGCAAACGAAAATTCAATTTAAACCTTTAGTACCTTGTTAATATGGTCAACCATTTAAAGGTATTCGGCGTCGTAATTAATCCGACAGCCTTCACAATTCACTTGAAAATATTTAGATATTATATAGGCTGTTATACGTTCCGTCATATGCTTTTATTTTGTATGAAAACAATATTTGTCGCCCATGATTTTACTAGCATTATTTGCTCCACCAACAAACATTTGCTTTTTTTTATTTCGGAAATCAGAAAATATAAAAAATACATCGTTTTCAAATTGGCACGAAATGGAATTAGGTGACCATTACATTTTTAATATAAGCGCTTCCGTATTTGATGCAAAATGTAATTGTTACTGTTTCATTTTGTTTAAATTGTAAAATAAAAAACAGATTTCAATTCTATGATGAATTGAAAAGACGTATTTAGCTATTCTTTAACACAAAACAGAGATATAAATAAAACATAGAATCTTGATGAAGTGGATTCTAATAGCATCCAGTAAATGATAACTACAGTTTATAAATTAGATTTCATTCTTCCGACAAACTTTTCTTTGTTACCTTCTTCAGGAATGCTCAAACCTAAACATTTCCAAGCCAGCAATGTATAAAAATTGGAAACTTTAGAACATACATGACGTAAAGATGACATACAAGAAAAAGCCTCATTTATCTACGGTCATCTTTGACTGGGGGAGCTGCAACCTTAGTATCTTAATAATTTATTAATTTTTCAAGTATAATTCTTAATAGTAGGTTATAATTCCAAAAAAAATCTTCAAAGTTCCTGAAACAATTTCCTTTGCTAGCAGGTTAGTTTGTCTCCGTTGACAGCTGTTAACTCCAAAATCTATATACAACTCGTACATTTTGCAGTCTTTATATGGTCTTTTTTTAGGAAATAAACAAAACAAACAAACACATACAGATAACCTTCGAACGGAATGATTCAAGAAGTAAGTCATACGGTTGTTTCTTAATAATATGTTTGCTCGTTTTGGAGATGACCGTCTAGCTATAATTTTATATTGGTTCCAAGCATTTAGGTGCAGCTGTATCCGTTTGAGTGATAACCACTGTAATAATAATCATTCGATACCTTAAATATAACTGACCTATTGCGTTTAAAAGTATTTATAAAATAGAATTAATTATCAATACTAAACACATTTTACTTAATCAACTGCACGCGAATGTTTTGAACAGTATTGAATTAACCGCGGTGAATAAGTCTGAAAAATAGCTGAAATACTGAACATAACTTAAAACATCTGCTGGTGGACTATCAGTTCCCGAGGGTATCATCAGGTCAGTAGTCAGTTCTTTGATACTGACCACAATTATAACAAACCTTTAAAAAAAATTGTCCGTTTACAAATTTTGAAATTAAAAAGACGCTAATGTTGTATCTCCCTCAGACAAGTTGACCTTCAATGGATTTGGTAATACGAAGAAAAATGAATAATAAGTAAACCTCTGGTTGGTTTTTGAATGGCCACGCTGAATTATTCTGGAGCTTAAATGAATTTTTAAACGTATGTCAACCGTTCATATTTCTTTTCTTTTTACACGAGAATAATTCAAATCGCCATACTTTGTTTTCAATCTTCCATTTTCCCTTGGTTTTGATGTAATTGTTTGGTACGCATATGAATAGCGTAACATTACTTTACCTGGTAAACGGATCCAATCTGTGGCGTTGAAAAGGCGACGTCAGAATTATGAAAACGAAAATAGGAATGCACCAATCCTCTGTAAATACGTGTTTTTGATAAATACAATTCACAAAGTTCAGAATTTAAATATGTTAAAATCGTAGTTGTAAGTGTTGACATCATGCAACAAAAGTTATTTGAAAATTATTGCTGCAATAGGCAAAGCATATTTATCACATCTGAAAAGGATGGTCTTTAAAAAAAGGAGGAGTTAAAGATTTTCACTGTTTATGATGACAAATGTATTTCTTGATTAATAGTATCATATTCTTTGTAAGAACAATAATTTTTAAGAAATAAGAGATTTTCCCTTTTTTTTTTTGTTGCAGTGTTATCTCGTAGCCAAGTCTGAACATATACTATAAACAATATTTAAGATGAGAGATGAATGTTTGGATCAATGGAAGTTGCAATTTATAGCCTTATTACCTATCATACTTTACACATATAATTCAGTTTCAAATGGAGTAGTGGATATAGCTCCAATCGAATGTTAGTGATACACAATTGCTTCTGTATGATGAATGGTCGGTTATTGGAACATCACGAAGTGTACGTGTGAAGCATATTTACAAGTCAAAAACAGGCGGAAGTAACCGCAGAGAAAATTTGAAATCAAAGAGAAACAAACAAAACCGTGGCAAAAGTCCAACACGAGTATTAGTTTTGTGTTTTTTTGTAGGTTGCTAACTCACATAGAACATATTGAATGATGAGGTAAATATTTATCAATACATAACATTCGAATCAATCAAAATGACAATGTATTGGCAAAAATGAAAGACGACAAAAAGAAAAACAAGTCCACAAAAACTACCAAAGAGAGACGTTTTGATCTATGTATTCGTTTTCAACACACTTGCAATACGCTAGGTGTTAAGACGTTAGTTTTTTCCATATATTTTTTTTTGTGCATGATGTGGTTTAAAGATCAACTACCTCTACTGTAATGACGCAACAATTCTTGACATAACAATCCATAAACTTAAGATTTAGATTTCTATCAAATACTTACAAATTCTAATAATAGTTCTAGCTTCTTATCTGCATTTCTCGAACTACTCGAAAACATTTACTTCAGCGTATATTTCCATTTTCATAATATCAGGTTCAGAGTAAAGCAATTCCTCACATTTGCTGCATCGTTAATTACATTATTTCTATTTATAACTGTTCTAATTTCGGAAACTTTAATTGATATAAAACGTTTTTCAAGCAGATATAGTTAATATGAGTTTTCAGGTCCGGCAAAGACAGTGTCGTTGTTAATTCCTGCATATCCACGTTGTTTAATAAGTGCTTGTTATTTAATAAATGTTTGTTTAAACGCATTTTAACATTTAAATTAAAGGTTTCATGTTTTCAATTAAAATCAATGCAACTGCATATAAAACAAGCGTCCAAATTGAGACATATGTAACAAATAATTTACTTAGGTGACAGACTTGTTCTTCCTGATAAACTATTAATTCATACGATTTAATAAAAGATAGACTTAATTTGTAGGCTGCTCTAAAACTATATCTGAATTTTTCTTTTGCAGTAAGTCATAAGAGATATATACAGCATTGTTCCCAGACATGTCTATATTTACATTTTCTTGCTTTACAATATTTGTAAATATATATATTGGAAATAATGTGTATCGTCGAATTATCGAAATCATAATGGGTGCTTATTGTACACCTCTAAATGCAGGTATTCAGTCTATTCAACATCGATCTAATAAAATATTAAGATTTGAGACATTTATTTTTGGTACATCATCGTGAAATTAAGATTTAAATAGACGACAAAAATCACTTTTTTCAACTTTTCCATTATACAGTTCCTTTTTTCAAAAAACAATTTTCCTATGAAAGCATTCTATAACGTGCATATTATTAGTTTAAGTTAAGAAAGTTTAAGGTATCTTATTTACGTGAGTTTAACCTGGCATCGACACAAAAAACGGTTACAAATACAACATATTTTAAATACTTTCAAAGTATGCTAGTTGGAGTAGAATGGAAGAACGATCTTTCATTGTGGTGGATTAAATTTCTACACATACTTAAGTAACGTGAAAACCGTATCCTGATATTTATATTTCTAGCTTTTGGTGTTTTATTTTGCTAAATTAATCGTTCATTGACGTTATTTCCGCACCTCCTAAATAAAACAAAAACATGAAAAAATACAAAATGTATTCAATTAAACAAAAAATCCGACAACGAAAAAATACAAATACGGAAAACATCTTCTTTTCTCTGCAAATTTTATTGAATCCAAGAAAACCATGTCTCAAACGCTACCATTGACATTATCCGTTTATGCATAAATTGTCAAGGAATATGATAAACGACAGTTTTTAACTTTTAAAGAATATCATGACAGGTACCAGGACATACGTATCCTCAAGAACATCTAAGTTCATCGTTACTTTAATTTTACTTTTAGTTGTGTATAAAGTGTTTTGACGAGGTTTGTTGGTCTTTTCATTCAATGCATATCGGTCTTTGTCCATCATTGTAAAACAGTTAGATATTGTATTAAACTATTGAATTTGTTAAAACTTTTAGTAGTATTTACTAAGTAAGCATGTGGAATACCATGTGTATTTTTTTATCATTATTTCTTACCATCAATGGGCTGATAAGATGTATAATTAAAGGATCCAATTATCAAGATGCAAATACCATATGACGGGTTTTCAGTTGTACACTCTTGTAGAATTACTGTAATAAAGATATTGTGACTTTCCCATTTGAAGATAACTGATCTTAATTCACTTTACAGGTATAACAAGAAAGAAAAAGAAAACAAGAATAGCAATAGTTTAAGTGATACTTATTATAAAAAATAACCATAAATGGAAAATATACTATTTGAAAATATGAAGTCACATTGCAAAACAAACATAATACTTATTTGCTGAACTAATTAGATGCGATGAGCATTTTACGACAGTAAATTGCTTTTTTTAATATATGTTAAAAGGATCTAAAATCATACACATCAGTACAAGGATATTTATGAGTTATCGTTGTTACTCTCATTTCGTTACCCTTTCTGTAATTTGAACAACATTTTGAACTTAAAGACATTATGAACATATTGCACTCCTTTTCAATAATTGATCATTTAAGATATGCCAAAAAAAAAAATAGGAATTAACTGGATTAAGAAGAAAGTTTCAACTATGAAATAAGCTTTATACTTCTAATGTCGACTGTAAAAACTAAAAACACATACTCAATCGATGGAAGATACCAATAAATAAAACAGAAACTCATTATAGTGAATGTAGACACATCTACGCTATGTGCATATGAAAATCACAAGGTTATGTTAGTTATGATGAGCACTTTACACTTAATAGTAAGTAAGCCAAGCTATCGACACATAGAGACAAAAAAAAAGCATTCAAACATTATTTTTTAGCAATAAGATAACAACGACATAAAATGTAATTGACATCGCATAAGGAAATGGCGTCTATATTGTATATGCATAATATATCATGAGTGTAGTTATATACTAATATATCTATAATTCATATTTGTATAAATAGACGTGAATATAATAATATATGATAAATAATAAATGTAGGTAACAATTTCATATCAATGCAAAAAGCACATACATGTATAAATAACTCAATAAAACGACATACATAAAGAAATAAACATGTAGGTGATATATCATAAAGTTTATTATGTTTGTGTATGTAGATAAAACGATAGCAGAGCAATATATTAATTAGTTCTGTCCACGTTTATGTGGAAAGACCTTTTAATTTAGTACTTTTTTTTCATCTGTCATCTTTTGATGTTAACATTTTTTGCACATGCTTTTCGAACAGTGGTTACGCTTATGTAATTAATCCTGTGTTACTGTACATTTTTTTCCTTTTTCAGTTATTTCCCTTACATTGTATTTCTTTGATCATTTATACTCTGAATGTTCTGTTCAAGTATGGCAGAAGAGATCTCGAGACTCCATATGAGAGTTATAACATTTCTGTGTATCTAGCTGTTACTTATAAACCATAAGGGAGTAGACCTACAGTAACGAAAGGAGGTCTTTGGTCAAATAAAATTCAATTGAGGTCAAGTTCAACGTTCAAAGTCACGTTATCAATTTGAAGTGTGTTTGTTGTCGCTAGGCTTTACAAACACTAAGAGTTATCGACAAATATCATATTGTTGGTTACGCCATGACGCATGTTCAATATATTTGGTTTAAAGTGCATTTGTGTCTTTTTATACATAAGAAAATGCCTGTACCAAGTCAGGAATATGACAGTTGTTATCCATTCGTTTGATGTGTTTGAGCTTTTGATTTTGCAATTTGATTAGAGACTTTCCTTTTTGAATTTTCCTCGGAGTTCAGTATTTTTGTGATTTTACTTTTTATCCCCTTAAATATATGAAATAAGCTATTTGGCTGTGTAATCATTAATCATTCACAATAAAGATATATGTTTTTTTGTTTGAAATCCGTGACTAATGACTTTAAATCTTTAGTTACGGTCAAAGGTATATAACAAGTGTAGCTGTATTTATTATAGTTTAAAAAATAAAAAATGAAAAATGAAAAAGATTAAATAAAAATCGTCGTCTTAAAGCATTAATTTCCATGAATTCATATGCCAATGTTTGTCAAATAGACAGTAGTTAGATCTAGACATTTTGAAAACATCTACTCCTGTACGATTTTGTCTATTTATAAAGATTTTCAAGAAAAAAGATAATATAGTCATTTTACCCCTTTGTTTTGTTTGTAGCTATGTTTGCCAATTTCGGAAGTCGACAAAAATAAAATTCACAAATGTAATTCTAGACACACTAAAGATCTTTCACAAAATTAAAATTTGTGCAGTAGTTTAACAGGAGAAGATATTTGAAGAAGTAAACGCCGGACACAAATTGAGTTAAAAAAAACGAATGTTTTGGTTGAGAATTATATCGATAAAACACATTTTCCAAGAGGTTATTTATGTGTAAACTGGACCGCTGAGGTACTAACTATACATACAAGTTCTTTTGATTTTTTTTAGTTTGTGAGTTAATTGGCCTAAGTAGTCCCATCAATAATCTCTAAAAGATGTGTTTAATCAAATAACAGCGATTATTTAAAAAAAAATACTAGCATGGACGCCACTCCCTAGCTAATCAAGGTACACATCCAACAGTACAAGCATCTACGTATTTATCGCAGGTTTGTTCTAACAATTTTGTTGGTCACATCCACATACACAAGAATCATTTTCAGGATGACAGTGTAGACATTTGGAAACAAAAATACTCCATTACGATTTGCTCTATATACAACGATTTCCAAGATAATAGACAATATTTTCACTATACCTTTTTATTTTTTTTTTTTTTTTTTTTAACTATGTTGGCCATATTGGTTAGTGGGCAAAAACGTTCACAACTGTTATTCTTAACATCATGAACATATTACAGATCATTCACACATACTTTGCTTGAAAGTGGTTCAGTAGTTTCAAAAAAGAAAAGAAAGATATTTGAAAAAGTATACGTCGGACACATCAATGTTAGTTAAATTGAGCTAAAAAAAAAGAGTTTTGGTTGAGAATTTTATCGATAAAACATATTTTCTACGAGGTTATTTATGTGAAAACTGGACCGCTGAGACAAAACTTTACATGAACGTTATTTTGCCTTTTATTTAGTTTGTGAGTTAATTTGCCTAAGTTGTCCAATCAATAATCTCATGAAATGATGTTTTAATCCAATAACAGCGATTAATTAAAAGAATACTTGTATACAGAGTACTCACTTAACAATTCAGATGCACATCCTACAGTACATGTATCTGTGTGATTATTACAGGTTTGATTTAAACATTGTTGTGGGTCAAATCCAAAAACACAGGAACCATTTTCAGGATGACAGTGTAGGTCTATACACTTTGATGAACATTCTTGGAACAGTTTTGTCCCCACATACCTTTTGGCCATCCTACAATGTTTTGAAGGTTGAAGTACGATGTTAAATATACAATGTTTTATATACAAAAACAGGAATTATATGTACCAACAATATTGTACTGTTGAAAATAACAACCCAACCTCTTCCCTGAACACAACATAGTCGTGAAAGCTTGTTTCAACCCGATTCGCATTTGCATTGTCCACTAATAGTGTAATCAACTCAGTGCTAGCAACTGAAAACAAATATAAGTTTCAAGAGTCTAGCGTTTTTTAACTTATTTTCAGCAGGAACGCTGAAGCCTAAACACTAAGCATGGCATGTACAAAATACTTAAAATGTTAGGAGCTATAATAGCAATTTGGGCACATAAATAGCCAAATACATATGAGGTTAACTTTGCCTCAGGTAGTTCCGATCTTAATTTCTTATTTATCTTCAACCGAAACCCTCAATCGAATCAATGGTAAGCCTCGAATGTATATAACATAAAAATGTAAGGAGCTTGATAACATCTTTTTTGCATATCTTAATTGTGTTGCAAGGATTAAATATTGAAAATGCAGTTTAAACTAATCAAAGAAAGCAGGGTGACAGTAGGACTAATTATCATCAATGGCAATCGAAACAGGACGGTTAGAAAGCAAACATCAAATATGAAGATGATAAACAGTAGAGTAAAATAAAGATATGAATGGTAAAAGTTGTCCAACCCAAGTTTATTAAATTAAAGCAACAGTAGTTTAATAAAGGCAACAGTACATGTAGTATACCGCTGTTCAAAAGTCATAAATCGATTGAGAGAAAACAAATCCGGGTTACAAACTAAAACCGAGGGATCTCTGTAAATTTTTCATAAATCGATGGAAAAACATATCAAGGTAACCAGATCAGCTCAGAATTACAAATGGAGCTAGAACGGTAGCGTCGACAGGGTAACCATCCTGCTATTCAAGCAGCACCTGCTATGCAAATACAAACTCAGTCAAAACGTCAGAAACGCAAAAGGACACAGTCGTTAAAATAACAGATCAGTCGACTTTACTGGTATCTAAAATGACAGTGAACTTATGTCATTAGTAAGTTCCGACTCAGACAAATCGTATCTGCTTCCAACGTCGTAAAGGTGACTGTAAAACTATTAAAGAGTCGATTCCAGCTGATCTACCGAGCGGTTTGTGTAAGGAGCAATGATTTGTGTGAACAAGCACGAGAGTTATGTATCAGTTGAGATAAGTAAACGCCATACGATAGGGCAGAGGGTATGCTACTGCTGAGAAACAAGGAAGTTGACAATTGACAATTGGAAAGTTTAAATCATCACGTTTGTCATATATTCTTGTTTGTATTCGTCCATATGTGTCAAAGTACTGGAAAAAAGTAAAATCACAAAAATACTGAACTCCGAGGAAAATTCAATCGGAAAGTCCCTAATCACATGGCAAAATCAAATGACAAAACACATCAAACGAATGGACAACAACTGTCATATTCCTGACTTGGTACAGGCATTTTCAAATGTAGAAAATGGTGGATTGAACCTGGTTTTATAGCGCTAAACCTCTCACTTGTACGACAGTCTTATCAAATTTCGTTATATTTACAACGATGCGTGAACAAAACAGACATTATAAATAAAATAGTCAAAATATGGGTACAGCAGTCATCACTGTGTTACAATATCAAAACAAACAATTATTTACAAAAAAAGCACAAAAGCATCTATCAAATTAAGTCCCCACATTCATTGCTTCGAAAAGATCAAGATACATGTATACAACAAACCTTCTACGGGTTGTTTCGAAAGAATCCTTAAACTCATCTTCACTCTAAAATGTGGGTTAATATAAAACGGCATTTAGAAAATTGTAAAGCAAATGGATACGTAATGCCATCGTTGGTTATTGGCTCATACGTAGGTCATATGGTATAGTTATAATATTTTTTCATGAGGAATCAAGTGTTCATTAAAAAACATCAGACGTGAAAATGTAATTAAACAATCATCTACATGATGCATTCCTCAAATTTAATAACACTTAATGCAGTTGTTTTTATTTCCTTAATGTTATGAGTCTAAGTGATATCTAAATGAACTTTGAAGAGCTGAAGCATTTAAAAAATAAGAAAAAGTATGAGTCAGATATGCTTTAAAAAGATGCGCATTTGAAAAAAGAAAAAAACTAGAAACATGATTAACAGTAACATAAAACCAACCCTCAATAGCAACATAAAATAATTTCATCAAATGTCCGTTATCTATTTCTCCTTTTGTATCCTAATAAATCGCGTATTTTCCAAGCTGATGACAAGGTACGTGTGTCTGGTAATGCACTCAAAGATGTTGACTGTGAACCATTCACTTTTGACAAATAGTTAATTGTATGAATTATGTTGGTAATACTCCTGGGGGCCGCCAACATGAGTTATCAATGAGATCATACCTTATTATGAAGGAGACATTGGAAGTCAAGTTAAACCAGATGTAATGTGTAATGCTGTTAGTTCAGCTGAAAATAAAATAACACAGACTCACCATCGATAGCAATGTAACATAACTCAACAACAGGTCCGAAAATAGTACAAACTTCATCCGATCCTCTATCATCGTAAAAAATGACATATTTTCCAAGTTGTTTACAGGGAATAGTCTGAGTGATGTTTGGGAGACCAGGATCAGGATCTTCATAACATAGATAACCATTAGGTGGAATAGTTGATGTATTGGTCACATATAACTTAAATCCATCCATACGATGAGCAACTGTAATAAATGAGATACCAATGCAATATTATGAGGATATTAGAAATTCACATCATCGTTCTTTTTTAAATGTACAGGCTTTCTTTGAATTTATACTTAACAATTACTTGAATTTGAAATAATCTGTTTGCGTAACATGTCAGCAGCAACATTAACTGGTGCTGTTATTACTTGATTTTACAAATACTGCTTATCCTTCAGAAGCGCCAATCGTAAAAAAATAAAAATAAATGGTATGATTGACAATGAGACAACTCTCCACCATAGACCAAATAACATAGAAGTTAATAACTAAAGGTCATCGTACGTCCTTCCACAATGAACAAATCCATACCTTCATAAAAGGCCCCGAAATGACAAATATAAAACACTTTAAACGGAGAAAATAATGGCCTGAATTATGTACAAAACAATAAAAGAAAAACAAACATGATACATAGCAACAAACGAATTAAAGGCTCCTGACTTGGAACAGGCACATACAGAATGTGGCAGGGTTGAGCCTGTTTGCTGGTGCCGAACCCTCCCCCTAACCTGGGAATATGATGTAACAGCACAGCATAAGGACAGAACTTTGCAAATCAGTTGAAAAGATCTAAACTTCTCAGATTGATACAAAGCACATGCAAATCCTAACAAAAACGCAAAAGACACAAAGTACAGATATGAGAGTACTCGCAGTTACTGAAATCTTGTTCAAAGCCAGTAATAACTAATAAAAAAACTGTTTAATAGAATAAGTGTTGCTCAATATTAAGTTTCTGGTAATGGTCTTAGGAATATTGTGTTTTTACGTCATTTTTTATCGACTAAGCTGTCTTTCCTTTAACAATATATTACTACTTTTTTCTTCTAGATATCTATTTAATTATAACAAATGTGTTAGTTTGCAATACATTTCATGTTTACCAAACAATGATTTCTTTCTCTTTTTTTTTAAATTAACATGACGGTGATTAAACATACTCATAACATAGCATACATAATTTAAAACGTAATATTTTAATGAAATGAAAGGAAAAAAAGTCAGTGCGAGGATAGAGCGAAAACGCATCAGAATAATTTTTCAAATTAGTAATAGGAACTTCTAAACTCTTAATTGGGGGGTTCTTGATTAATGTACTATGCATAAACCCTGGAGATGAAACTTGTGGAATTACATGTTTTATATTTTTCGAAAACATTTTGCATTTCACAGTGAGCAAATGCCATTTTACTAATAATATATCAACATATAGAGATATGTGGTGAATGTATGGCTGACGTTAACATAAATACTTTGAATTCATTAGTAATGTGACTTCCATAATCACAAGGAATCATTTTGTAAGGAGAGCGAAAAAGCTCTCCCGTTCACTTTGATCTAACTGTATTGTGTGAAGTAAACTTGGAACAGGTCAGTCATTTTCTGGCATTGCACGGGAAAATTTGTGGATATCCACGTGAATTTTTGTTTCACGATCTGGCTGCAAAGGCATTGCCTCCTTTGATACAACTGTAAACAGTGCTAAATGTAGTAGGATTTTTCGATAGGCTGCTGTAGAATTTATATTAGAAATACGATTTTTTAAGCATGTGGATATCCTAGAAGTAGGATTGTTTTTTAATTTCTTTCCATTACGTAATATCATAATAATATAAATATGGGTACAGGAAAAATAAAAAAATGCAATATGTTATTCATAACATTATAGTTTTTGACACCAACAGTGATATATAAATAAGAGAAGTTACTTATCACAGTAGCATACGGTAAGGCACTCAACTTTGTAAAAACAGTTATCAAATGGATCGTTAAGCACATAGCATATTCTATATCGCCGACAAATTATGTTCACTGTATAAAACATAAATCAAAATACAGCCCCTCCCCTTACAGTTCTTTTATTCCAACAGTTGCTCCATTAAATAATTACGTTACATTAAATTATAATAATAATTTGTATTGTCATATAAACAAATTGAACATGTTTGTGATAAAAACATACATACATATATATATATATATATATATATATATATATATATATATATATATATATAAAACGTCTGAATAATAGTCAACGATTTTTCCCACGAGGGCGCTGGATCGTTACGAGTAACGATACACGTACACAATAAATAAATTATATAAACGCCTAAAGAGTGTACACAACAACACCAATAACAAAAAAAGGAACTATATATGTAATTATTTATAAATATTTCGGATAACAGATATCCTTCATCAGTAAATATGATTGTGATGTTGAATGAATCATATATCAGTCTACTTAGATTAAACTATACCAATCTTGAAATTTATACAATAAAAATGTCAAACCGAACATCAGGTAAGACGCTTGCACAATTCTAAATATGTGTTAAACACGACATAGGTTATATGACTAATTACAACAGAGAGTTCAAATATATGCTTTAAATAAAAATAAAAATGTGCGATATGAACTAGCACAATTCTAAAGCTTTAACGGTGACGACAGTTATGATGTTACAAGAACGATTGCGTCAATAAGAATTCCAAATAAACAGCACTGAACGATCTAAATTTGTAAATATTTCAAATTTGACAACGGTAGAGTAGTTGCAACAGAGTCTGCGTATTTAAACATCGCAAACAAACGGCCGTTAAAATATAATAATAAATTTTGACTAAGGTTAACTAGTTGAACGTGGCTTGGTACTTTTACATCCCTCAAAAAATTAAGCAATTAAAATTGGTATATTCAACAGATTTATTTTAGAGATGATTAAGGTAAAGAAATAGAAACAGAGACTGTAATAAAAAGTAATATTACCCAAATGTGAAGCACTGCATGGAGTCGAACTACATCTTTTCATTTATCCCATTTGGTGCCAAAGTTGTTAATTTTCTTATCCAAAATCTTTCCCGAGTGAGTCTATCCTCCCTAGACCAAGCAGAGTTGTGGTCAATGATTGTAATGGTCAGTCGATTGAGATCTGCCTTAGTGTGGCCAGGGGATCTCAAATGTCGACTGAGAGGGAGGTCTGGCTTGCATTGGTAGTCGCTACGATGACCGTTCATTCGTTTGTGAAACGGCTGTTCTGACTCGCCAACATACTGTTTACCACATTTATACACAATTCTAAATTGAAAACAACGTTCAAACTTATGATTGCGTTGGATAAAAACCGCAATTTTTATACGTGTGCATGCAAAACAAATTTCTTGTTAGAGGGGTCCAAATACAGCACAAACAACATTTTCCAAAAGACCAAAAAAGTGAAAAAGTATATTTTAACAAAACGCATTTGACTAACAGGTCGAACAACAAATGTTCTTAAACCCTGCTGACTGCCATTGGCGATTGCCAAATAAACGGATCACCGATGTAATAAATGGATCTTAATTAAAAATTTAATACTAAACAGAAAACAATTAACTTGCGGAAAAGATGGTATACCGCAAACAAAAGGTGCAAAGGTTTTTGTACACTATATCCGGATTTCGACAATTAATGTCTCTTCAGTGATGTTAGGAATCGAAACGGTATTTGGGAAGCCATACAATTTACCTTAATTTAGGATAGACTCTTGAATTTTGAGGAGTCAAAATAGGATGAACGGATCATATAAACCCGAAGCAAATATAATACAAGCCCAAACGAAAAAATATAAACAAGTCTAAATTTAAAACAACGTTCAAACCTATGATTGCGTTGGATAAAAACCGCAATTTTTATACGTGTGCATGCAAAACAAATTTCTTGTTAGAGGGGTCCAATTACAGCACAAACAACATTTTCCAAAAGACCAAAAAAGTGAAAAAGTATATTTTAACAAAACGCATTTGACTAACAGGTCGAACAACAAATGTTCTTAAACCCTGCTGACTGCCATTGGCGATTGCCAAATAAACGGATCACCGATATAATAAATGGATCTTAATTAAAAATTTAATACTAAACAGAAAACAATTATCTTGCGGAAAAGATGGTATACCGCAAACAAAAGGTGCAAAGGTTTTTGTACACAATATCCGGATTTCGACAATTAATGTCTCTTCAGTGATGTTAGGAATCAAAACGGTATTTGGGAAGCCATACAATTTACCTAAATTTAGGATAGACTCTTGAATTTTGAGGAGTCAGAATAGGATGAACGGATCACATAAACCCGAAGGCAAATATAATACAAGCCCAAACGAAAAAATATAAACAAGTCTAAATTGAAAACAATGTTCAAACCTATGATTGCGTTGGATAAAAACCGCAATTTTTATACGTGTGCATGCAAAACAAATTTCTTGTTAGAGGGGTCCCAATACAGCACAAACAACATTTTCTAAAAGACCAAAAAAGTGAAAAAGTATATTTTAACAAAACGCATTTGACTAACAGGTCGAACAACAAATGTTCTTAAACCCTGCTGACTGCCATTGGCGATTGCCAAATAAACGGATCACCGATGTAATAAATGGATCTTAATTAAAAATTTAATACTAAACAGAAAACAATTAACTTGCGGAAAAGATGGTATACCGCAAACAAAAGGTGCAAAGGTTTTTGTACACTATATCCGGATTTCGACAATTAATGTCTCTTCAGTGATGTTAGGAATCGAAACGGTATTTGGGAAGCCATACAATTTACCTTAATTTAAGATAGACTCTTGAATTTTGAGGAGTCAAAATAGGATGCACGGATCATATAAACCCGAAGCAAATATAATACAAGCCCAAACGAAAAAATATAAACAAGTCTAAATTGAAAACAACGTTCAAACCTATGATTGCGTTGGATAAAAACCGCAATTTTTATACGTGTGCATGCAAAACAAATTTCTTGTTAGAGGGGTCCAATTACAGCACAAACAACATTTTCCAAAAGACCAAAAAAGTGAAAAAGTATATTTTAACAAAACGCATTTGACTAACAGGTCGAACAACAAATGTTCTTAAACCCTGCTGACTGCCATTGACGATTGCCAAATAAACGGATCACCGATATAATAAATGGATCTTAATTAAAAATTT